GATTAGGATTTCCCGCGGGTGGGGTAGAGCCTGGCTCCTGCCCTGCCCCACCACCCACCCTGGGACCACAGAGGTGTCAGGAAGGAGCAATAACCACATCAAATTAATTGGATCCCGGTTTACTGCAAACAAAGAGGAAGCAGGTGACATTTACCTAGCAGAGTAATTGATATCTGAGCAATTTGTTGGAGTAACCTCATTATATGCCAGCTGGATTTCCCAAACCCTCCCAATCCCACTCATTACGAACAAGGTTTGTGTGTTAATCAGAGCTCTTTAGTCACGGGGCTGCCCATCATCATTCCAGCAAGTTACAAAGCCTCCAGATTTATCACAGACCCTGAACACTCTCCTAAGAATGTGCTGGATGTTTTATCAGCAGGTGACGATGCTCCTTGGGAAGACACTGGACATTTCCCTCCCAAGCAACGGCTCAGGAGCAGAGCTGGCTCCTGGCACCACCTCTCCTCCCTTTCCTCCCCTCCCCGCTGGCAGCTCTCCCTCCCTCCCTGGCCTGGCTGATCGGCTCCTCCTCACCCTCAGCGCACGATCAGGAGCTGTTCCCACACCAGAGAAACGGCTCCAGTCCAAACAGGGCCCAGGAGGTGTCAGTGCCTCTGGCAGAGCCACCCCGCCAGGAGGGCACGTTCAGCAGCACCCCCTGGGCACGGGGCTCCTGGTTCCCGAGCCCAGACCCCTCCTTGGGTCGCTCAGCCTGGGCAAGGTTTCACCTCTGCCCCCGGAGGCCCCAGCCCTGCCAGCCAGGCCCCCTCCGGGCAGGGGACACGGTGACCCTGGGTATGGAGGAGAAGGTGCCACAAAGAACTGGGTCCTTGCTGAGCTGCCCAGGAGCTCCCACACCCCTGCCCTCCTCCAGGAGGGGACACAGCCCCAGCCCCCCAGCAGGAGAGATCCGTGTGCCCCCCAGATCTGCCACCTTGCTCAGGCTGAGCCCTGTACGAGCTGCTCCATCACCCTAATGACACAGCTCATAATTATCTCATTTGCTATTAATTTGCTTGTCAAGAGAAATTCCACTCATTTGCTTTTAATTAATGGGGCCTTAAAATAAAGCCATGGAGCTGGGAGGGCTCTGGTGAGAGGTGTCTGCAGCAGGATCAGAGAGGATCAGCCCAGACCAGCAACGGGAAGGGCAGACGGGTGGAGAACTATTTATAGGACAAAAGGACAGGAAAGTCCAAAAAAAGGACAAAGGGACAAAAAAACCTACAAGGGAGCCATGATGCTCCCCCAGCTCCCTCTGCAACCCAGGCACTGTCCATGGGCACTGGACACTGCATCCAAGAGGCCTCTGGACACCCCAACAAGGTTCAGCTGCCACAGCGGGAAACAACACAAAAAATGCCTGTGTGCAGCCAGAGATGGAGGCTCAGAGCTGAGGAACAGCATCCCTGCTCTGAGAGCCAAGGGGACACAGCTGCCCCAGCCAGCCCCAGGAGCACCAAACACACTGGGAATGTGGGAATGGAGGGGGGGCTCAGCTGCCTGGGTGCACCCAGATCATGGCTCAGTGCTGCCAGTCTGCAGCTGGACCAGGATTTTGGCAACCACGAGAAACAGCCTCTCCTAAATCCACCTAACCACGCCAAAAGGGGAGAGGGATGAGAATTGGGGGCGGGGAGGGGGGAAATCCCAATAAGACACTTCCCCCGTCCTCAGCATGAGTATCCCGAAATACAAACCCTGAGTCACCAGAGCTCCACCCGTGCAGTACAAACTCACAGGCAGCACCTACACTGCCACATGCTCCAGACACGGAGGTGGGAATTCATCCCACCCAGCCTCAGACACCTGTGACAGAGCTGCTCATCCAGACTCCCTCGAAACTCAGCAAACAAACAGATTTTCATCTTAAAACATCTTCTCTCCCTTCCCCAGGGACCCCAGATACACAGTACACATGTGGGGATCCTCCTTCCTGATCTCTGAGTGTCCACAAAAATCAGGGGAAGCAGATCCAGATAATCTGTAGCAGAACAAACCATTCATCACCTGACCGTGCCAGAGCCATCACTGCCACATCCCTGATCCCAGCACTGCTCCAGACCCACACCCTGTTCCCCAGCAGCACTGAGGGGTCCCCAAGTCCCAAGACCCCTGCAGAGACTCCTGAACAGTCACAGATAGAAACAGTGAAGAGGAAAGCCCCCCTGCTGATAACAAAAGGCTTTACAACCAGTCAGTAATAAGTATTTTCCTCTGGTTCCCAACAATTTAACACCCAGAACAGCCAATTTCCAGCAGAGTTAAAAACGACAAGACATGTATGAGTTTACTTCGAAGGACACTCAAGCTCCACTCTCTGAGTTTCTATTAAGAGGTTTCATGCATTACAAAGCGATTTTCCCTTCCCAGGGGTATAAGCCAATTAGATAAAGACCAAGTTAATCCCTTATTGTGTCCAAAGAGCCACAAGCAAACACCAAACACTAAGATTAGTCCTTTCCTTTAACCACCCTGGGTTTGGGCAGCTGGGAGAGCATCCTATGGCACAGGCAAACCCCAAACCCAGGGGAGCAGAGCCCCAGCTCCAGCAGGGCTGCACAGGGGCTGCCAGGTGCCACTGGCACAGCAGCACCATCCTCCACCTAAACCCTACCCAGGTGACTTAAATCCAGAGTCATCCAAGTTTACCTGTACTTGGGATGAGAAGAGTTCAGAGACTCACGCAGAGGGAAGTCAGGGCAGTGATGCAGAGCCATGTGATTGGGTTTTTGATGCCTGTTTTTTTTTACCTTGAGCTTCTTTCCTCACTCTCTGCCAGGCCAGCCAAGGACAGCAGCACCCCCAGCCCTGGATCCCTCACAGGGTGAGCTCATGGACCCCACATGTATCAGAACACCCAGGCCCCAGTGGGAAGAGGGAACTCCCAGCAACAGACCCCAAACAGCCACAGCCTCATGTTCCTATTGACAAACTGGGTTCCTTGAGCTTCCACCCAAGCCACAGCTTTGGCTGCAGAACCTCCCCCAGCCAGCACTCCCCAACTTTCTCATTGTCAAATACCAACCAGAAACACACACACAAAAAAATCACCAACAGATCAGGAGATAATAAAACCACAGACACTCATCCATTCAGCTGCACAGCCAGGTCAGGGGGAGCCACAGCCCATGTGCTGAGGGAACCTGTTCTCCAGCAGAGCCATCCCAAAACTGCCCTAGTCCCACAGGCCTCTGGCACAGCTGAGCCAAATAAGGGGCTTCAGCACACTGGGATCAATCTGCAGGGGGAGTGGGGTGATCCAGGGACAAGACTGGGCTGGTCCTGTGGCCCCCAGCACAGGCCAAAGCCTGGGCCAAGGTAACTAGCAATTCCAGATGGATTTCCCCAGTGTCCTGCCCAAGAGAGGTGGGCAACAGCTGCCCCTGCCCACAGTGTGCCAGCTGTGCCCAAATCTGTGACAGGCTGTAAGGGACTGTCCCCAGGTTGGGGAAGTCGCTGTTTTGTGTGTGGTTGGATGAGGAATGGATGAACTGACAGCAGGGCTGTGGCCCCTGGGAAGAGCCAGGACAGGTGCCAGACCAGTTCCTCCCAGTAAGAGCACCCAGGTCGACAGCCCCGCACAGGAGGCAGCTGGGGGTGTGGGGTGCCCAGCCCAGCAGGGCAGAGCTGTGCACAGCCAGTCCTGCCTTGCTAAGCCAGGCTGAGTGTCCTGCAGGGACACTGGGCCAGGAGCCCCCACAACCCCCCCACATCCCTGGGATCAAAGGAGCAGCTTCCACCGAGACGGTTTTCCCTTCCCAGTCTCTGTCCACCCACGTACAAACTCTGCTGTGAAACAGCTCTGAGGCTTCCCAGGAGACGGCGGGGCCTGGGAGCTGCAGCTGCTGCAGCTTTGGCTTTCAAAACACATCAGTGAGGGTTTTTGGGCAGTGCCCTGCCAGTACCTGTCCCTCCCTTCACCACTTGCTCAGACGGGCCCCCAAAGCTCCCCAGAGGGGCCCTGGGCGTGCCAGGTTTTTTGCTTCCTCCCTTTTCCCACCCAGGTTTTAGAAGGAAGTGCAGAAGGAACCAGCCCAGACCCCAGCCCAGCAGACAGGTAGAACGGGCTGGATTTTGTCCCCCCCACCCAGAGCAGCTCCAAGATTGAGAAAAGAACAACAAAAGTTGTAAAAGAAATTTATGCAAAATTGAGGTTAAACAGCCCTGACCTGAGCACCCTTCCCCAGTCCCAGGAAAGCATCTTTCTTCCTTTTTAGGCTGGAATCTCACACAGCCATGTCAAGAACTCCCATAGCTCCTGCTGCTCTTTGGGAACAGTCAGGAACCACCTCTCAAACTCAGCCAGGACTCCAACCTCGGGAGGAGCAGCTCTGGCCCTGCAGAATGGACGAGGGTCGAGGATTGATTCGGGCACAGAAGCTCCACAAACAGCTGAGCTGGTGCTGGGCCAAGGTACAGGCACAGGGAGCTTCTTCCAGCCTGGCACCAGAGCTCCCAGTCCACCCACTGGGCAAAAACTCCAGCCTGGGATCTGGCCACCCTGACTGATGTATCAGGAGGGACCTCCCTCCCTCCCCACCCTTGATGGGAAATTCTTCTCTCCCCTGAGATGATCTTTCCCTCAGGAAGAGCTGGGCAGCACTGTGGGGCTCTGGCACAGACACTGTCACCACCACGGCCCCAGGGCAGCTGCCACAGCACCAAACAGGCAGAAGCTTCTCAGGTCCTGGAGCTCAGAGCCCTGAACCTCTTCCAAACCCCTTGGCCAAGTCTTGGCTCCGTCCCCTCCCCACAAACACCTGAACAGGTGTCCCCTGCCCATTTGCCAGGGCCAGCCAGAGCTGGAACAGGGCTTCTGCTCCCCAGGGATGTGCAAAGGGAATGGGAGGGCACAGGCTGCAGCGATGGGGGGAAGAGGTGTGGTGGGAGCACAGGTCAGCTCTGGAGGTTAAATGCCTCAACAGCTCCTTGTAAATCACCTCCTGCAGCTGCTCAAGGACTCCAGTGAGTTGCTGCAAACTTACACGTGAGCCTTTGCTTACACAAAGATTTTAACAATACTCAAAACCAAACCCTGAGACACCGCTGCAAGGACTATCCTTGAGCAGAAGCTGCTCTGCCAGTTCAGTCCACCAGGGCATGCACAGGGCTGGTACTGTCCCAAGAGACATGGCCTGGCACGGCTCTGCCCCCCAGGATGGCACCAGGCCATCGACAGGACGGAGCCTTGAGGGAGAGGATCCAGCGAAGAGGAGCCCTGCAGGTTCTTCAGGTATCAGACTCATCCTCCAGTTCAGTCTCCTTTTTGCTGCTGGGAAAAAGAACAAGGGTCACAGACAAAAAAAAGTAGAAACCAACAAGACCAAACAACAGTTACTTGGTGAAGAAGGGGCTCAGACACAAGGTGTGAGATACAGGATCACCAGTGGAATGAGTTTGGGGGTTCTGGTGCACAACCTCCAGAGCAGCCCAGGTGAGCTCCAGCACTGCCCTGGCAGGCAGGGGTTAGAGATGAACCCTGGCACAACCAGGGGACACCCAGGCTGGCACTCACAGGGCCAGGCCACAGCAGAGAGAACTGCCACCACAGCAGAGAGAGCCCCTCCTTCTGCTCCTGGGTGCACGATTTCAAGAGTCAAGGACCTGAGCAGGGCAGGAGGGTTGCACCACCCAGGTGTCCCAAGGAATCTGTAAGAGATGCCTCACCCAGTGTTAATCCCCCACTGCCACCACCAGCCCCCTTCACTCCTTCTGGTCCCTCAGGACCCTGGAGCCCTGACACACGTGGCTCAGCCCTGAGCAGCTCTGGGGTCATGGCCATCAAGGACCTGTCCAGCCTGGTCCTGATGTGGGTCTGAGGGAACCCAACAACACTCCTGTGAACTTTGCAGGAGAGGTAGGATGGCCACAACTTGAGGAACTCCTGCACCTCAGAGGGCTTGCCACGGGTTTACACCAATAAACTGAGCACCCACTGGCCCATGTTATGCAAGAGTGGGGGAGTCTGACCCTCCCCTGAGATCCAGAGGCCAAAACCAGCTCCCTGCAGGTATTTCTGTCCACCCTCATGTCACACCTGTAGGCGTTAGTGCTTTGCTGATCACCGGTGCCAAAAAAAGACCAAATCCCCACTGACCTTGCCCAGCTCAGGACACGGTGCTGTGAGGGAGAAACGTGTGAAGCAGCATGGCCACACCGACCAGAAACCACCCTTTCTGCAGGCAGCACATGTCACTTGAGCTCACCTTGTTACCCCTCCTGGCCCTTTAATGCCATTACTGCAGCTCATTCCACGAGCAGATCCCCTTTGGAAAGGCACCTGCTGGGCTGCCCACACACCCACCTCTCTGGCCTGGCAGGTCTGACCTCCAGTGGTGCACACAGCTGCTTCCGAATGTACTCCCTCGATCTGATGTCAGCCTGGAACCAAGGAGGAAAACGGGTGGGAATGGTCTGACCAGCCTGGCTGGAGCCTCCCAGTGTGCCCAGGAACACTGGATGGTTGTGTTCCAGCAAGGCAGGACAGCCTGGGGCAAGGAGAGCACTGACAACATCCCAAGAGCTGTAAGAAAGCACTGCTTGACATTCACTGGGTGTTCTTGTCCCCCTGAGCAGAAGACTCTCCAATGCCATCACAAGCACATCCCAGGCTCTTGGAGAACTTAGAGAAACAGTAGTCGATTTTTAAAGTCCTCAAAGTTTTTTTCTTTTTCAGAAACTTCTTTCCCAAACGCACTGTGACATTTCAGAGCAGCTGCTGTGCCCCTCCTTAAAGGCAGAGTGTCTCTCTCTCCACTTAAAAAGCAGGATGTGACCTTCCCAGCTGGAAAAGCTTCACAGCATGCAGTGATGATGCTCAGAAAGTGGGTTAACACATCCCTGGTGGCTGTCCTTGAAGCATTTGCTGCTCTCACCACTGTGCTGCCCCTGAGGAGCCTCTCCTGCACCCCAAGCAGCCCCCACACCCCTCAGCCCCAGAGCCCTGGGTGGAGGCTGTTCCTGCTGCTGCTGGAACCTGCTCCACAACTGCAGAGCCATCCTGCCAGCTGAGAATGAGAGAGAGTTACATAAGGGGTGGTTTGTTTGGGAGATTTTTTTTTCCCTTCTCTCTATAATTGGACAGTTTCATAACTGAACTGACAAATAACTTTGATCACTCTTCAGGATAAGCGATTACGTGATGTATTTTATAACCAGGGAAGGAGGCTGCTCGATAGTCCCCACGGGGACACCAAGGAGCAGGAGGCACAGCTACCAACTATTTTTCTAGGGAAGAAAAACTCCAGCCACGTTCTGCTGAGAACATCAGCTGATGCTTGATTAGGTGGCAGTTCCCAGCCAGTGCTCACTCCTAGTGCAGTGCTGGAGTCAGCTTATCCTGGTGATTAACCACGGGGCTAATCAATAAGATGGATCACTGCCCTGTAATAATCCTCACAGATTTGGGCTATTTTCAGAGGGGATAGTGCTGGCTTTGGAAGTGTTGCTTTGCCTGTTTTCTGAGGGGCAGAGGGGCAGTGGTGACCCCTGTGCACACTGCAAGATTGCAGGGGGTACACCTGAAGGGAGCTGGAGTCTCAGGATTCCAGAGACCAACATCCACTCTCAGAGGAGAGGGCTCATGGCTTGTCTCTCACTTCTCCTCAGGGCACGTGTTTACTATGTCACAGGAAGCGACCTGCAGGCCTCCTTCTGTCCTTCTTGGTGGGCTGGAGCAACACCAGGCTGTTCCATCAGCCCCCTCCTGAGCCAGCAGGAACCAGCTGGGCACAGGGCCAGCAGGAGCTGAAGGATCACCAAGTGAGGGGTACTTGGTGAGCAGCTAACCAGGAACCTGCACCAGAGAGCAGAGCAGGGTCCCAGTGCAATCCCTGTCAGCTGGAGAGAGTGAACAGCTTCTGTCTCCCTGCTGTGCACAGGGATCCTGGGACTCCAGTCCTGGAGCGTGGGTGAGCACTGGAGGGGAGTTCTGGCCCCGCCAGGAGGAGGCAAGGCCAGGTCTCTGCAGGGCTTGGTACTGTTCAGGGCCACTCACACTGAGTGCTGTGCTTACTTTTCTGGGATGACAGCTCCTGCCTACCCCAATTCCTGCCTGGGAGCTCTGAATGACCTGTGCAGAACCTCACAAGCTGGCTGGTCAGAGATCACCCCATGCAAACACATTTCTCCCAGATGGGCCTGGCACTGGCACGTGGAGTAAGGACTAAGTAGGATGTAAATACTGATTGCAGGTGACAATGAATTCCCTCTGGTCTCTCTGAGGGATCACTTTGCTCACCTGCACCACAGCCAGTTCCTTGGCAGCACGACCACACTGTGGGCTGAATGCAAATCGAGCTGTTCTGATTCCTGCCTGGATAGTGCTGCATTCCCAGGAAGCACCACATCCCCTACATGGACTGGTCAGCCCTGCCTCTGGGAAAGCAGATCTGAGTTCCCACAGCAGTTGCACAGCACTGCACATGCTGCCCTCACACAAACCACCACCACAGCCTCAGGAGGCGTGGGCAGCTGAGCTCTCACATAGCAGTTTACTTCCAGGGCTGCCAGAACTTACAAACCAGGAGCTGATGATCCACAGGTCTTTCACAACACTGGGAAAGCCATGAGCACATCACCCATCAGGTCTGCAAGCTTGTCCTGGCCAAGTCAGCCATCCATGGCAGGATTCTCCACAGCCTTCTACTTCCTAACTCCAGCTTCAGGTGCTCAAGAGCTGAGGCTTCCAGGTCTGCCCTGTGCCAAGATCTGCGACAGTCACCACACAGAGGAACTGCAGCAGGGACAAGTCCCATGGAAAGGTTTAAGTGTCCTTATCTTCTGCCATCCCTCTACAGTAAACACACTCCCTTTGGATTTTTCATCTCTCTGTAGGAAAAGTGACAATAATTCACTCCATCACTCTTAAGAAAAAGGTCACAGAGAACTGAAAGATTCTCAGAACATTAGCAAATCCTGGAGATAGCTGGAAGCGAAATGAGGGTGATGAAAAGCTCCAAGACACCTTTTTGTTTCCAAAGGGAATGCTTTTCCCTTCCCTTTGAACACGCCGAGCTGCAGAGCTGGCTCGGAGCTCTGCAGAGGCATCTGTCCCTGGCTGGAAATTACATAAGGAGCAAACTCAGCCTCCTCCTGTCTGGCAGGTACTGGGGATGAGATTAGAAACTCCAGCTCTGCTATGGACACCTCGAGGCTTGCTTTGCTCCAAGGTGTAAGATTTGCCTCTGGTTTCTGAGTAGAGACTCAGTGTTCAGAGAACACCACAGTGCCCGTGAGCAGCTCTGGTGCAGAGCCCTCAGCAGGGTCACCCCAGCACTGCTCTGGGGGGGCTGCACAGGTGGGCAGACCCCCAACACCCAACCAGCACAGCAGCAACACCAGTGGGCTGTACCAGGGCAGCATTAGGAACAGGGACACCTGAGCAGGCCCTTGTGGATCTGGGTTGTGGAGCCATCGACAGCCGTGAGCCCAGGAGAAGGGAAACACTTGCCAGGCCAGAAGTCCTGGAGTCTTTGTGCTCTCCAGAGCCTTTCCTGAAGCTCTGCTACGATTTAATCAGCCAAGGCTGAGCCCCGGTGGTAGCTGTGGCTCGGTGACAGTGATCCAGTGCTGTCCCCTGCTGGCTGGGCCCCGCGGCTCCGTCCGGAGTGCGGCAGCGGGGAAAAGCCCAGAGGAGCAGCACTGCCGGCTGTGCTGGGCTCCAAGTGCCCAGGAAAGCTGCATTCCCGGCTCCTGTGGATTAACAGCAGCACCACGGGAGCTGGCTGCAGAGAGGAACCAGGAAATCAGTCAGGGCTGGGAGGGCTGCCGGGCACTGCGTCAGGAGGACAAGCACGGCCACGGGAACGCGACCACGGGCCGGGAGAACAGCCCAGCAGAAGGGTGTCAGCAGCAGAGGAGGCTCTGCAACACACCACAGGCTGGCAAACACAGCCCCCCTGCTCCCTGCTGCCCTGCTCCAGGCCTGCCTCCCCCCCAGCCCCAGCTGCCCTGCTCCAGGCCTGCCTCCCCCCAGCCCCGGGGCCGTACCTGCCGGATGGGCTCCGGGACGCGGTACCTGCAGCAGGACCTGACGAGGCGCACGGCTGTGTCCAGGCTCACCCTGTGCCCCACGGAGATGTACAGGGGCTTCGAGCTGTTGTTGTAGCTCCGCAGCACCTGGGCGTTCAGAAACGAGAGATCAAGCACTCAACAGGCTCCCTTAAAACACACAGAGGGGCAGGTGAATTATGAGCCAGGCAGTCGCCCTCAGAGGGTGGAGTGGTGGCTCTGTGTTTGCAATTCCCAGCCTTCCTGAAGCTCTTCTCCATCCCAGTGTCTCCTCACAGGGACTGTTTGTCCCTCTGGACCCCTGTGGCCCTTCCCCAAACGCCTCACACTCCTCTGGGATGCAGGACACATGCCAGTGCAGACTGACACCAGACACAGGAAGTCTCTAACATCTGCCTGTTCCTGTTCTCCTCTGAGTCAGATGCTCCCATATTGCATCCTGGTGAACTGCCAGGGAATTGGCACTTCTCCCTGACTGGGGTGCACACACAGGGGTGCCAGAGCACCTCAAGTGCCACAGCCACAGATGTGATTGTACCCAACAGCTGAACTGGCAACTCTCTACGAACATCTGAGCTCTCAGTAAGGGGCTGGAAGTGTTACTGGTCCCTGTTCACACCTGCTTTCCTGAACTGGGATCACTGAGATAGCCCCACTATGGAAACAACATCCTCATGGCCAAGTGTCCAGGGAACTCCACACAGCTTACCATGCCCAGGACTCTCCCTGAAGTGCCTGTCAACGGGAATGTATCTCCTGACCTCTGCAGGGAACGAATCTAGGGATAAACACACACCAGGTCAGGTTGTTAGGATGTATTTGTATGTGGCTGTGTCAGTTCCCTTGGGATATCAAAGAGCAGAAATAAATTCCCAGCCTGGCCTAACCTGCTCCCTGTGCAGCTCGTCCCTGGCCAAGCCATCCACCTGCAGGAGGTTCTTGGCCACTCCAATGCACGGCAGATCTGTCAGGACTCCGAGGTGACAGGCCACACCAAATCCTGCCAACAACGAGCCACTGTACCCCCAGGACACCAGGGAACTGGAATCCCAAGCAGCAGCACAGGGACCAGGACAGCAGGATCATCCAGGAACAGCCTACCTCTGTGATGGAGCAGCCCATTCCCATCTACCAGAAGCACCTGAAAAAGCCAAAGCAGAAATGTTACTTCCTGAGCACTCCAAGGAGCAATCAGTGATGTTGGCTCTGGGAGGAAGGAGAAGTCTCTCTCAGTTCTTTAATTCTCTCTGTAAGGCTCTTCCTGGGGTGCTGCCTGTGCCTGACTCCAAACCAGCAGAGTGAGCTCTCAGTGGTGCCAGTGTCCTGCACACACAGCGGGGCTCCTGCTGCCACAGGAGGCCTGGCTGCTCTTGGCTCCACATCCCTGCTCCCTAAGGAAGGGACAATGGATGCTCCAACACACCCGTGGAGAGCATCCAGCGTAGTCTCCAGAGGGAGAACACCTTTCAGCAGGACTCTGTGCCCACAGGACACCCCAGCTTGGGACAAGGAAACACAGCACACCTGAGGTCTGAGCTTGGGCTCCTCCTGCTGAAGTCTCTGAACAGCTTCCACCAGGAAAGGGACCTCTCGGAAGGCCAGGAATCCGGCCACGTAGGGGGCAGTGACGGCCACCATCCGGCAATCCTCGTACAGCACCTGGGGGAGACAGTGACCTGTGAGTGCCAGAGGCTCCTCCTCTGATCCCTGCTGCTGGATCTCTCCCACAGAGCCAAGGGCTCGGGGCTGTGTCAGTGTGTCACTGGGAAGGGACTGACAGCAGGGCTGGGCACACCGTGCCCTGCCTGGGAGTGAGTCCTTGAACACAACCAGGGCAGCTCCCGAGAGCCAGCAGGAACCCCACCCTGCCAGGGCAGCACCAAAGGGGCCTGGGCAGGCACAGGCCAAAATAAACCCTGTGAGGCAGGACAAAAACGTGATCGGCAGGGCAATCACAGCAGGACCTTAAACTCAGTTCATAAAAATCCCAGCAGCAACATCAAACTTTATTTCTCTGCTTGTTAGAGCTTTTATAGTCAAAGATAATTTTTACATCATTTTGAAAGCTGGGAAAGAGACCAAAAAATTTTATTATTTCAAGTAAAATGACTGTGGGATGTGGGATCCATGGTGGATTTGGAAAGACTTTTCCAAGTCCCATCCCATATTATCGGCTGGTTCCCAGCAGGAACTCACACACGAGACTCTGCACTGGAGTGCTACAAACACTTCCCCCTGTCCACAGGCACTGAGGGACATCAGCCCCTTTTGGCTCCTTCTGGAAAGTGGCTGACACTGATTATTTCCAACACACCCCCAAAGCAGTTGGTGTGTTGTACCTGACCAGGGGCTGCATCTCATCATGGCATTTGTGAGGTACCAGCCCCCCTGAGCAAGCCAGTCTCTGGCCACCTTGTGAGTTCCCAGCCATCCTACAAACCTCTCGTGATCAGCAGCTGTTTGCATCACATCTTCCTAAACTTATGTCTAAATCCTTACATTACTTTTTCTCTATCTTTTTTGCGAACACACAATTGGAGGATTTGCTGAACAAACCCAGAATCACAGAACCATGGAATAGCTTGAGTTAGAAGGGACCTTAAAACTCATCCAGTCCCACCCCCGACCATGGGCAGGGACACCTTCCACTAGTCCAGGTTGCTCCAAGCCCGGTCCAACCTGGCCTTGGACACTTCCAGGCCACAGCTTCTCTGGGCAACCTGTGCCAGGGCCTCCCCACCCTCCCAGGGTGGAATTTCTTCCCAATATCCCACCTAACCCTGCCCTCCTTCAGCCCAAGGCTGTCACAAGGGATATCTGAGCGATGCCCTGCGGGGCAGCCCCGGCAGGGAACGGCCTTTGTGAAATCTTCCTATAAACTCCTATAAACCCCTCGTGTCCCGGCACACCTGGACAGAGCCCTGGAGTGAGGGGCTCACCCGCGTTACCTGGAGGGCCGGGTAGCTGAGCACGACCAGGGAGGCGCAGGCGCTGGTGTCGTCTCCTTTGATGTAGGATAAATCCACACCTCCCACTCTCTCCAGCCCGGCGAAATTCGGGTCTTTCTGCCACTCCTCGGTGTCCTGCTCCACCACGCCGGCCTTCAGCCGGGCCTGCTCCCTGCAGAGACACCCCGGGGCCGCACTGAGAGGGGGGTCCCTTCCCCGGAACTCCCCATCCCCGCCAGCGGTGCCCTGGGGAGCTCGCAGACCCCACCCGGGGGCAGAGCAGCGGGGGCTCTCCCCGAGGGTGGCCGTGCTCGGTGTAGCCCCGGGCCGTCCCTCCCGTCCCCCCCGGTACCGTTCCCAGCAGCGCCGCTCGGGCGGGGCGGCCATGGCGGACCCGGGGCCGCCCGTCCCTCCCCGCCACTGTCCCCCGGAACGCGGGGCCGAGCGCGGCCGTTCCGGGTGCGGCGCAACCGTGTCACGGGACCCTGGAACCATGGAGTGGGTTGGGTTGGGAGGGAACTTAAACCTCATCTCGTTCCACGCCTTGCCCCCGGCAGGGACACCTTCCACCGGCCCAGATTGCTCCAAACCCCATCCAACCTGGCCTTGGACACTTCCAGGAATGGGGCAGCCACAGCTTCTCTGGGCAACCTGTGCCAGGGCCTCACCAGCCTCGTAGCCAAGAATTCCTTCCCAATATCCCATCTAACCCTGCCCTCTGGCAGTCTGAAGCCATTCCCCCTTGTCCTGGCACTCCGGGCCCTTGTAAATAGTCTCTCCATCTTTCCTGTAGTCTCCCTTCAGGTCCTGCAAGGCCACAATCAGGTCACCCCAAAGCTTCTCTTCCCCAGGCTGCACAATCCCAGCTCTCCCAGCCTTTCCTCCCAGCAGAGCTGCTCCATCCCTCTGAGCATCCTGGTGCCTCCTCTGGACTGGCTCCAGCAGCTCCCTGTCCCTCCTGTGCTGTTCCCAGGGCTGGAGCAGCTCTGCAGGGGGGTCTCACCTGAGGGGCAGAACGGCCCCTGCCCTGCTGCCCACGCTGGGGGATCAGCCCGGGGTGAGCTGATGATCCACTTGGGGCATCCCAGTCCCTGTGGACCACGGGGCCAAATGAGATGGGGAAAGGAGCCAAAGAAGGAACTAAACAAACTTTATTGGGGCAGGGGCAGTGGGGCCCGGCCCCGGGACAAGGCGGCAGCAGGCAGGGGCTGCCGGGTTAAGGCAGTGAAGCAGCCACTTCCTTCATGGTTCCATTTCTCCTTCATGGTCCAGCCCCGCTGTGGTGCAGAGTGAGGAGGGGGTAGCAGCAGGTACCTGGGCAGGAAGGGGGAGCTGGGAGAAGGAGCTGGTTCTGCATCCTGCTGACAACCCAGTGTTGGGAGAAATGCAGACTGAAAAAATAAATCCCTTTTCCCAGCACCTGGGCACATTGGTTCATAAAAAAAATACTTCATCTTCCTCAGGTGGGTCTGGGGTTGTGGTTGTCCACGATTCACACGCAGCTGCTGGTTCTGTTTCATCCTCCTGCTGCACGGAAGCAGCTCCACATCACGTGTTTGCTACTGAAGTTAGTAAAGAACAACAACCCCAAACCCAAAAAGTAAATCAACAAACCCAAAACAAACCCACCACTCCCGAATCGCCACCCCCGGGTGTTGTGGCACCAACATTCCTGGCAGTGGCCTGTTCCTAACTTTCCCTGCGCTCTCGTTTGAAAAGAGCAGCTGCTTTCCAGGTAGCAATTGCATGAGAGAGAAGAATCTCATCTGGGAATGTCTCTTGCAGCTCTGTAGCTAATTCAGAGTCTTTGGCATCAAGGTAAGGCAGGAGCGATTCCTTCAGGCTGGAAAACAGAGCAGAAGTAGCATTAATAGCTACAGCAAAGCACAAATGCCATGTAATATTCGTGTATTCCCACCACCCAAAATACTAAATACACACAGTTTAACTGGTGTGTTTGTAGTGAGGAGGGTTAAACAGCCCCTTGGATTTACAGAGAGGCTGCAGGACCCAGCAAGGGCAGGCTGCAGGGCAGAACTGAGCTGTTGGGGCCAAGGTGTGCCTGTGAGAGCTGAGTGGGCTCCTCCTGGAAGGTTGGGCTTCATGATCTTGGAGGTCTTTTCCAACCTTAATGAGCCTGTGATTCTATAATGATTCTATCCAAGTGCCTGCAGAAGTGCTTGTGCTCCTGAGCAGCAGCTCCTGGTGTATTCCAGCAGGGTTCCCAAAACAGCTCATGGAAAAGGAAGTCACACATGCCCAAAATGGGCAGTGTGTCTCAGGACTAAGCTGGATATTTCTAATGTTGCTGGCTGTGCTGTGTCCCCACAGGACAGGCATTTGCCAAGGGAACTGTTCCCACCATGTGCATTCTCAGAGGCAGAGAAGCTTCAGTTCACAACTGTGGTGGGTTTGGGCTGCGTAACTCCTACCTCCACTTGGGTCTGAATTCATCCACAGCTTGGGCACGTCTCAGCTTCAAGACAATCATTTCATGGAGCTCCTGCAGGAAGGTTTCCAGCCTCGAGTGGACGAGGAAGGTGTGGAGGAGCTTGGCAATCTCTGGACTGAGCTCAGCTTTGTAGTCTTGACTGACGTCTGCAAAAGGATCCTAAAAACACAGCGAGGGAAAAAAGACAACCAGACAGACACATTTGAGCAGGCTCCTTGAGAGCAGAGGAGGAGCTGGTCAGACAGAGTTCTGGGGGTCTCATACCCTTCTGAGGCGCAGCAGCTGCTCAGATTTGCGGGTGGAGAGGAGCTGCCACAGGGCTATGCTGTGTTTGAGGTGGCATCGTCTGAGGGCCTGCAACAAAAACACATGCATGGATGTAAGGGATGTCTCTGGGAGCCTGTCCCCAGCCTGCTCTGCCCAGGCAGGTCACAGCTCAGCAGGGAGTTCATCCAGCCCTTTAACCTGGTTATAGCCTGCCTGCAACAGGCCTCTCTCTCTCTCCCCCTTCCCCATTTTGCCTTCAATAATCCATCTGTTTGGTACCATGAAAGGGAGTGGGAAAGCCATAGGGCTGTCACATGCACTGGTCACAACACAGTGCCTTTGCCCTGGCCTCTCTTCACACTCATTAGGAGATAAAAAACCTTCCCCATCACCAGTGTAGAGAGGCAAAGGGATGGTTTCAGCCCTGCTCAGCACAGGCCAGTGTCACCAGGAGCTGACTCAGATCTGAAGTTCTCCCTTTGCTCAGTTTTAGCACTGCAAAATTCTTCTCCTTCCCATGCTATCAGAGCCTGGATCTGCAGAGGAGCCTGACCTTCTGCACCTCCTGCACCTGACCTTTCTGGAGGGTTGCACAAACCTGCTGAGCATCACAAGCTGTCAGGTGCTCCCACCTTGCAAACAGTGGTTACAGGGAGAGTGAAAATTGCTTCCCCCTCACTGCTGAATGTGGTAGAGAGGGAATTCAATCACCCTGTCAAGCTAAACTTTTGCTGGGCTTGAAGGTCACACTGGCTGGATTAAACCAGTGCAGATTTTACCCTGTAAGAATCAGAGCTTTGCCCTCAGGACTCACCTGAAGAACGTGAGGGTTCGTCTGGTCCCCCATCTGCAGAACTTGTTCAATGTAGTCAGTCAGTGGCATCTCAGCATTCTCCCCAGCCATGGCCAGGAAGCCCAGGGTGATTTCAGTGAGGGACAGAGCATCACAGACATCACTGTAGGACTGCAGCTCCCCACTGATCATGTTCATCGCAGAACTGGGCAGAGCACTCTGAAAACCAGGAAGTCAGAGCTAATATTAGTTTAGAGCCATTCCTTATCACTGCTCAAGTTGCTAAACTCATGGAAGAGGAATAAACTTATTCCCAGATGTAGGACACTGAAATGCTGAACTGTCTCCCTTTCCTCTGTAAATCCAGGCTGACAACACAAGTCCAGACTGTACATATTCAAGGCATGCTGAGAGATCAGTGGGCAAGCCTTCAGATGGACAAGGCAAGGGACAGAAAAGCCAGGAGTTCTTGGGAAGTCAGGGGTCTCATGTTTGCCCTGTTTCCTCCAGTGCAGAAACCCACCTGCTCCAGCTTATTCCTGACATCAGTAAAGAGCTGCTCATAGTTCCGGTCATGTCTGCACACTAGGGTAGGGATTCCCTGTCAGAGGAGAGACACCCATGGCTGTGAAGCTCTGGAGACACTGCCCACCCTGCCTGGTGTGTGCCTGGCAGCAGCACCCACTGCAGGGCCCCCCCAGCCAGGCAGCACAGCCCCTGCCCCGTCCCACCGTCAGCGTGATGAGCGGCTTCCCCTGCAGGAACTTGCTGATGACTTGCTGCTGGATCTTCTCCAGATCGAAGTCCTGCAACGTCTCCCCTCCCTTTTCCATGCTGTACTGGCAGTTGGACAGGATCAGAGGAATCAGGTCTCTCTCCACCTCGTAACTGATGAGATGCAGGTCAGCCACTTCTGACGGGCTGATCACGTACCTGCAGGGGAGCGAACGGCCTCCATCAGAGAGAGGAGCCTTTCTGTGGCAGGAAAGCTGCCTGTGTGGGAGCAGGAAATAAAACAGAGCCCGAAAAATGGAATAGCAACACACCTGTCATCTTCCTTGATGTGTTTGTTCACTGAGTGGACGAAGTCATTGTGCAGACCGATGAGGTAACTGGCCAGGGCGGTGGAGCAGAGGCCCAGCCCCTGCCGCCGGGGCAGAAGGACCTCAAGCTTGCTGTCCAAGGTCAGGTCAGCATCACAGTAGCCTTTAGGGAGCTTAATTTCCCCTGAAATAAAGAGAAGACTGTTTGAGGTGGCCCAGAGGCAGCCCAGGCTGAGCAAGCCTCTCCTGAGCTGACCCACGGCAGGACAATGTAGAGCCTGAGAAAAGCTGCGCTCTCTGCATTAGGGATCAGCACTGAAGCACACAAGTTCAGGTGAGAATACTACAGGAGGGAAACAAATTCTTCCATTTGTGCCTGGATGATCTTAACATTTAATGGCCAAGCTCAGTTTTGAGGCTATGTCTCAGCATCACTGACAGGAGGAACCTGAACTGTGAAAGAGGAGCAGCACTGGGAAAGAAGGTGCTCACCATTGGTGTCCAGAGAGCTTCTCAGCTTGTTCCAGACAGACAGAAACACATTCACTCTCCTCTGTAACAGGTCCCTCATCACATCTGAGGAACAACAGAAAGACAACTCCATGAAACACCTGGCAACACCCTGAAACTCCGTAATTCAGGAATTTTCAAAGCACACCACTGAACTCTAGGCAACTGCTCAAACTGCTCGAGAGACTAAACAGACATTAAACATTTTTCTAATGATATCAAATGGAATCATTTGCTCTGTTTGTTCATATTTTTCTATTATTATCTACTATTGGCCCAGGCTGGATTGATCCTTGGTCTGATTCTGCAGGACCTTAAGTACTTCAGTACTTTCCCAGAAGTACTTAAAAACATCAGTAA